AGTGTATGAAGCAATCAAATTTCATCCTATCCTTGTTGATCCCTAGACCTGAGGCACCTTGTGGTGATATGGATGTCTTTCTTGAACCACTGGTGGATGAAATGGTAGAAATGTTTACTCATGGTGTAAGAACATATGATGCTTCTAAGCGTGAACCCTTCCAACTGCGTGCTGCCATAGTTTGCACCATATCTTATTTTCTAGGTCTAGGTTATTTGGTGGCATGCGTCACTTTTGGCAAAGTTGCTTGTCCTGAATGCCACTTAGATACATGTTCTTTCCAATTGAAAAAGGGAGGCAAGTGTGTCTACATGGGCCATCATAGATTCTTAGATGTCGAACACAAATTTCGTTTTGATATAGATTCATTTGATGGTACCACAGAACTTAGGCCAGCACCTAGACCTCTTAGTGGAGAGGAAATATTAGAGCTGACGGCCAATATATGCACCACAACCTTCGAAAAGGACCCAGTAACCAAGAAGCTAGCCAAGCGTCAGTGCAATCCAACTACAGAGGAGCCATCCAAGCAAAAACGCAAGAAAGTTAATGAGCCACCAACTATTTGGAAAAGAAAATCCATTTGGTTTAAGTTGCCGTATTGGAAAGACCTACTTCTACTGCATAATTTTGATGTTATGCACATAGAAAAGAACGTGTGTCAGAATATTATTGACACACTTTTGGACACCGATGGAAAATTCCAAGGATAACTTAAATGCTCGCTTGGACATCCAGAAACTTGGCGTTAGAAGTGATCTTCATCCTGTTAGTGTAGAAGATAACTTCTATTTACCTACAGCACAGTTTACAATGAGTCCTGATGATAGGGAAGCATTTTGCCAAGTATTGAAGGATGTGAAGTTTCCAGATGGTTATGCATCTGATATGTGTCGTAATGTGCAAGTTAAGGAGAAGAAGGTAATTGGATTAAAGAGCCATGACAACCACATATTGTTGCAGCACTTACTTCCCATCACTGTTCGGAATATATTGCTAGAAAGAGTAAGTGCAGCATTAATTCATGTGAGAAATTTCTTCAAGATCTACTCACCCACTATTCGTATCAGTGATATGCAAAAACTAGAGGCTGAAATAGCCGAGACACTAAGTGTCCTTGAGACTATATTTCTACCATCTTTTTTTGATATCATGGTACATTTGATGGTGCATCTGCCTGCTCAAGCAAGACTTGTTGGTCCTGTACACTATCGTAGCATGTGAGCAGTAGAGAGGTATCAAACTATTTTCAATTGCTATTGAACATATTTGTAGTTAGATTCCACGCTAAAACTGTTACTTCATAGGTATTTGATGAAGTTGAAGGGCTCTGTTCGTACTAGAAGACATCCAGAGGGATCAATTTGTGAGGCCTACACATTTGATGAGAGTCTTACTTTCTGCTCCAAATTTTTGAAAGGCTGTGAGACTGGACAAGTAGGAAATGGTGAAAGTATGGACTGTGAAATTTGTACTACACCATTCTTCCAAAGCACAGGGCAAGCTTTGAGTGGCAAGTGTACTGTATCCTTAGAATACAAGACTTGGGTTCAAGCACATAGATATGTATTGTTCAACTATGATAAGATAGAACCATACTTGAAGTAAGCAATCCACATAACTTGACACATATTGCATTTCTCGTATTCTTATCTATACATTTCTCAATGGGCACCACACCTTTGCAGCAAACATGTGGAGTACCTTTCCTCAATTGGTCACCACAATCAGTGACAAATGACTCGTATCCATCATGAAATGTTTCATGATTGGTTTAGAAAGCATGTAAGTAAAGGTGTGATTAACATGTTCTGTTCAGATCTAATACACTTAAATTAACTAGACATAATGTGATGTTTACAGGTGGAAGGGTTAGTTGAAAGTGGTGTAGAAGTACCAAAAGAGATACACATTTTGGCAAATGAACCTTTCATGATTGCAACAACATACAATAGCTATGCAATTAATGGATTTAAATTTCATACGTCCTCCTATGATGAGGGTAGACCAGTTCAAGGTAGTGGAGTAGCTTTGGCTGCCCAGACCTCTTGCTTTGAAAATGGAAACAATGTGGACCCAGTTATGAGAAACAAGATATACTATGGCATCATCAAAGAAATCATTGAGTTAAACTATCGCAACAAAGGAAGCGTAGTTTTGTTTAAATGTGATTGGGTGGACAATTGCATTCAAGATAAATGGGTAAAAAAGATCAATTTGGGGTTACAAGTGTTAATTTAAAGCATTTATTCAATACTAGAGAAAATATGTTAGATGAACCTTTTATCATGGCATCACAAGCTATACAGGTTTACTATGTTAAGGAAGGTCCTGAATCAGATTAGCATGCTGTTGCCCAGTCAAAACCACGTGATCTTTATGATATGGCGGTTGATAATGAAATACGTAACCCAATGCCTGATTTGGATACAAATGTTTATCTCAGTGGTCTTTTTGGAGATGTTGTACATGTAAGGACTGATATAGATGGGGTCATTGTTGCTGAAAGAAAGAGGAAGTAAGTCTCACGCCATCAATTATTGCTGGTGCTATGCATATTTTTCTTTGACATAATTGCTTTGTTGGTCTGAACTAATTGTTGATTGCTTACATACTTGCACTACTGTTTTATGAGAATCCTGTACTAATTCATTTTTTTTTTTTTTAGGATAAACAATGTCAAAAGCAGGGGCTATATAGGTTGAAGAATTTCTAGAAAAACAATGAGGTTGTGGTCCTATATATGATTAACTTAATTATGTGTACTCCCTTGATCTACCATATGTATTTGTGTTCCTTCTGATCTTCTATATACACTAAGGTGTTGATTCAGTAAGTTTGGTAGCCACTCAAGCTATAACTACTTTATATAGAGATAGTATCAGGTTGTTGCAGCTGCTGTTACTCCATTGAATTCTTACTTCCTTCCTTTGCTGCCCAATAACAAAGCAAGAGTTAATGATACAAAGCACATTTCACTGATATTTTGCCTTTTTCTCATGTTAGGTACTTAAGTTATGTGGTGTTGCAAGTATTTTGGATTGGCAACCTTTTGAGGTTTGATCAGAGAGTTGTTACATGTTCTCTGGAGTGGAAGCAACCATATGTGCACTAAGTTGGTGTTCAAGTATTTTGGAGTGGCAACAAGTGTCCGAGAATTGCTAGAGGAAGATATGAATTGCAGTTATGTTCTTTTGTTTGCACCTACTATCGTGTAGGCCAAAGACATATGGAAGTGTTGAATGCCACTTTTGTGCCCAAGTCATGATCTATTGATCTCTTAGCTTTAGCCATAACCAGTTGGTACAAGACTTGTAGTATATGTCTATATATGTCTACTAGTGACTAATCTATATCTTGGACCTGTATATGTATGGCTCTATGTACTATGATCATCACTTGACCTACTATATATATATATATATATATCCAGTTGGTGTATGTATGGAAGATCTAATATATTACTTCTATAAAATCATGTGAATTTGCTTAATGTGATGCCTTCTAAATGAACAAAAGTGGATTTATCAAATTATTCAAATTATATTTGTATCTATATTTGTAGTAAGTTTTGCCAACAGTTTAGTTGCTGGACAAGGCATGATTTACAAAATACCTTGGAAATAGTTTCGCCAACACACAAACTGTCGGGAAAGGTTTTAACTGTCGGCGTAGGTCCTAATTGTCGGCAAAGGGTTAACTGTCAGCAAAGGTTTCAATTGTCGGCGTAAGTGCACCATTTCGCTACACAAAATGTGTCAGGGATTCTTTAACTGTCGGCAAAAGTTTCACCGACGGCTTCTAACGTGACTGTTTCTAAATTATCGGCAAAACTTTTCACGGGAGGTTACCCTTTGCCGACAGTAAAAAGTGTTGGCAAAGGTATGTCATGTTATAGTGTAAATTTCCTTTTACATTGTTGAAAGCCTCTGATTTGCTTGCAGAAAGGACTTCTTTTATCGATTGGGATACTTCATGTCGGTTGCAAGTAAGTTTATGATGATTTATTATGATTATGATGCAGAATTTATCATGTGAGTATGCAAGTTCAAATGGCTCTTTCCTACACTGTACAAATCATATTGTATATCTATCATCTATTGATCCACCAAATTCTTTGTGCAACCAGGTGTTGTCGCTCAACAGAGTATGTGCTACACCATTTTGTGACATGTGCATGACTATGCTTCACAAGCTCAGCATGGACAATGATTCCTGCACATGTCAAGTCTGTTAGATCACGAGGACAATGATTCCTGCACATGTCAAGTCTGTTAGATCACGGGAAAGATGTCAGATGGACTTAGGGCCTGTTTATTCTACCTTAAAATCGTTTTTAGCTACAAGTGGAATCATGTATCACATCAGAACCTAGATGCTTGTTTATCTGATGCAAAGAGTAGTTAAATGTAGACAAATGTAAAAAAAACTAATTGCATAGTTGGGTGAGAAATCACGAGACGAAACTTTCGAACCTAATTAGTCCATAATTAGACACTAATTGCTAAATACAAACGAAAGTGCTACAGTAGCCAAAACCCAAAAAATTTTGCATCTAAACACGCCCTTAATAAAAAAAATCTTGTTGTACTAACAAGGAACAAACCTGTTCCTAGGCCTGTTATCTGTAAATTAGACAGGCTATTCTACCTTAAACTATCGTTCCTTAGCTACAAGTGGAATCATGTAGTGCTATGAAGAACCTAGATGCTTGTTTATCTGAGGGCTCAAAGACCAGTTGAACCTACCCGGACAAATGTAATATACTAGATGTCCTCTAATGGTTCTTCGTGCTTATGATTCACGTGTCCATGTCCTCTAATGATTCTTTAGCTACACGTGGTTTCCAGATTATTAACTACAATACTGTTTGTGGATTCAGTCTCCACCACTCCAGGACCCAACACGATCAGCTGACTGATGCGGCGCGCCCCTTCCACTAGTTTACTAGACGGGGAGTTCCCTGGAGTCGACGTACTTTATTATAGTATAGTAGCCAATCAATTCGGCGTGGCCGCATCCAACTGTACCGCCGACAGGTGCAGGCAGGCTTTCGATTTCTCCCTCACCTTTTCAAATTGTAAGACCAAACTACCCTACAAATTGAAACGAAAGGAGTATCTATGGCTTTAAAAAAAATTAAAACAATGCACATCTACAATTTTTATGCCTCTAACATGTTGGATAGCTGGGGACATGGAACATTTGTGTCAAGCTTTCTTTATAAAAAGGGGATGTACATTTTCTATTCATGTGTTAGTTTTTTTTATCGCTAATACTCTAGTGCGGGCGTCCGTCCGGGTCGTCCGGACGACGCGTTCCCGTTCTCGAGCCAGCACAGCGACCGGGCCCAACAGGCCCATGTACACTCTCTCCTCTATCTACTCCATCTACACTGCGACAACTTTTTTTTATAGTGTGAAAAACCCCAACTCCTTGCTTGTCATCATGTGTGACACGGTTCAATTGTGTCTTGAAACGAAAATAGTCACACGCTTTTTTCGACGAAAATAGCTTCTATGGGCGGCAATAATGAAACTACGCCTGCTATACTTTGCTATTGGCTTTTCCCTGAGTCGCGGCGAGCCACCATCAACCTCACCGCCGCCGTGTTGTGCTCCATCCCTCGGTCCCCACCCCTCAGCGCTGAAGCCTTGCCCATCCCTCGATGGGTCGAGGTGCCAAACTCTGCCGCCGCCTCCACCTCACTAGGAGGTCGTCCTCGGGTGCGACATCGAGGGCGTCGGCGCGGCGTCCAGCAGGACGCTCAACCCAGCCATGACATCACGAGATCCGAGTGGCTGCTCACCGTCCTGCCGGGGCGGCTTCTCCGTCTGCACCTCGCGCTCCCTTCCTTCCTCGGATGTTGCAAGCGCATGTTACAAGCGTATGTTTCAAGTGTTTCAGAAATATGTTGTAAGTGTTTCGTATGGTTGTTGCAATGGTTGTACACGTATGTTGCAAACGTCTATTTCCAATCTTTCATCTATTTTTTGAGACACATGTTGCAATTGTGTTTATCTGGATATTGCATATGTTTTGCAATGGTTTTCAAGTGTCTTTTAGGTATTTTTGCAAGTGTTTAATACGCATGTTTCAAATGTTTCATCTGCCACGTATGTTTCAAATGTTACATCTGGATGTTTTAAAATTAGATCTACAGTGTACCAGGCAGCCGTTTTGCACATGTTGCAGCCTCGCGCATACTCTGCTACGGGGGCGACGACGGGATCAAATCGTCCGGCTGCGGCCATGGCAGCGCGCCGCAGTTGTGCGGTACAACGAGACACGGTCGGATGGTGCCCGGATGGCACGGAGTGCTGGTTCGGGCTACAGTGGTGGCGCTCACGGCAGCCGGGAGGAACGAAGGCCGACGTGCTGGGCGGCGATGTAGCTTTCACGGACGCCCGGACACTAGCCCTACCCCTTTTTATGGTGTCGAAACAGATCTTTTTGATACGTGAAACGTGATTCATTGGTAAGTATCACTTGTCATAACATGTGTGACATAAATGTTAGCCAATTGTGTCTTGAAACGAAAATAGTACACACAATCTTTTTTTTTCGACGAAGTAGTACACACAATCTATGAGCAACAATAATGAAACTATACTGCTACTACTTTGCTATTGGCTTTTCCCAACGCTCTTTCCCGGCGAGCTACCATCAACCTCACCAAGGATCCCGTTATCCTCGTAGCTTCCAAGATTCCTGGCATCACCACCTTGCACCACGTCTCAGCAGCTGAAGCCTTGCTAACCCCATCCTCGATGCCATCCATGTGCCGGCCAAACTCACAGCGCATGGCCTCCACGTCACAGTTGAGAGCGTACTCTGCCAGGCTCTCCCTCGGGTGCGTCTGGCTGAGGGCGTCGAGCGCGGCGTCCAGCAGGATGTGGCTCACGGACGCCAGCCCTCTGAGAGCGCCGAGGAACGACGTCGCGGTGGTCTTGCTCACCGTCCTGCCGTGGGCGGCGTCGGCTGCGTCCACGAAGATCTTCACGTACGCTCGGAGAGTAGTGTGGATTGTGTCCGCGGAGATGGAGATGGAGATGGAGATTTCGTTTGGCGCGCCAAGGTTCAGGCTTGCAGTTGCGCTGCTCTGAAATTTTTATTTTTGGTTGGCAAGAGAAAGCAAGGTTAGTTAGTTATATTAGGGAGAATGAATGAAGCTGAGAAAATAAATGAATGAGATTAATTGATGATGCAGGGAAATAGGGAAGATGTGGAATTCTAGTGCAAATTGCAAAAGGAATTACATACCATGATTTGGGAAGCTATCATGAGAGCTTGGTTCGCACAGAGGCAGAGCTGTCCCGACATCTTTGTGGCCTCCATGTACTGCACATGAAATTGGTTACGGAAAGGGTCAGTTAGAATATATCCTGTTATTACAAGCACACCAGAATTCAGTCGAGACTCTAATGAACACTGCATGTTTGCTTGCGTGTACTTTGTACAATGCAAAGAGATTATACCGATATACATACAGTACGTACCAGGCAGCCGTGGTCAGTGTGGATGATGTCGTTGTAGCGGTCCATCACGCGCTTCCTCTCCTTGACGAAATAGCGACAACGAGCAGCAAATTCGTCCGGCTGCGGCCATGCCGGCAGCGCGCCGCCCCAGTTGTGCGCCCGTACAACGAGACACGGTCGGATAGTGCCCGGCTGGCCATGGAGCTGCTGGTTCAGGCTCGGCCAGTGGTGGCGCTCACGGCAGCCGGGAGGAACGAAGGCCGACGTGCTAGGCGGCGGCCTTGCTGTCACGGAGACCCGTGGGATGAGACGGCAGCTCTGCAGCGTGGCCATGGCGGCTGCTCTGCTAGGACTTGGAGTTGTTCTGTCTCTGTCGACGTACTCTTCAGGCTAGGCAAGCAGCTGCTTGTGCTTTTTGGCGTGGAGGATACCCAGGGCGCTGAACGTGGTGTTAAGTAACACAAGGAGAGCGCGGGAGGGAAACGGAAGCGATTTTTAACTCGGACAAGGAACCACGTTCTTTCTTTGGGTTGGCTTTGCGACTACCGATACGGACTTGGTAACATGGTCGGCTCTGATAGGCCGTGGCCCGCGGGGCCTTCAGCCTAACTGAATACCCTTTTCTTCTTTTATTTTTCTTTTCTAAAAATATCCTTAAATAAATAAAAATATATATTTCATCCTTAACTTTCTTTCTGTTTGCGTGTAAATCTACTCTCAAGGTCTCGGTGTTCTTGTAATTCGCCACGTCGAGCGTGCTCATCTTCCTCTACTAACTTCCGACGACCATCGGATCCTGCCACGGTTGTCTCGTCCTCGCGGGAGCACGTATCATAGCAACAGCATCTTTAGCGCTACAGAGCGCGTACTGATCTGAATCCTCAAAACCATGCCAGATGCGTGCAGACTGCACCAAGATCTGCATCCTGCGCGTCAACTACTGGCATCTTCCTGCGAAACATCAAGCGGGTGCAAAATGAGGCGATGCGTTCAAAATCCCAGATAAACAAACAAAGACGATCAAAAAGTGCATCCATATGGGCTGTGAGCAGTTTCAGCTCTTCGATGCTTCCGTTAAGTTTCTCCTTTTATGCGAATCGATCAAAGCTTCAGTAAGGCTAGTGCCAAGCTTTTCACTAAGACTTACCTCTACAGCTACGAAGAAGCTCAAGAACTATTACTGCTCTAGCCGAATTCAGGCCACCGGACAGCATCATCTTGTGTGTTCATCGTCTTTGACGGACGGGCCCTATCCGTTTCGTTGTTCCAAACCATTTCCATCTACAGAGAAAGCAATTCTTGTTGAAAGTGATAATCCATGTGCGTGCCCACCAGTGTGTGACAAAATGCGACAGCTAGCCTTTTGTGGTTCTTCTAGTTCAGCGATTGATCGTGCTCTGATTAGTGTGCATACATACCTCACCAATTATCACCGTATCGCCCTCCTTAACTCCCTGCTTGCTAAGAGCTCTGTTGACACCACATGCCTCTAGGGCATGCTGAAATCTTTTCAAGGAATCCGAGTACCTTCATCAGGAGACGATGTTACAAGATGTGTAGTGTAGTGGCACCAACAATTAGCGCTGCGAAAAAAACTACTTACTGCCAGTTAGTCATCTGAACGAAACGCTCGATTCCAGCTCCAACAACATTCCATGTATTTGTACCCTTGTCATGGAAAACCTCAAACTCATTCATGGGTGCACGTCTTTCCTTTTTAATCGCATCAGACACGTGGTTCAGATTTTCTGGCCCACTCCATCCTGCAGCAGTATATAGTTTCAAGATGAAAATCGCAAAAAGAAATGAAGCACAGTGTAAAACCAGCTTCAGCCTTGAGTAAGTTATTGTGGCTGGCCACAGCTATAGCTAAACTGAGAGGATAAGTAAGCACCTTCAGTTTCCTTCATCATCTGCCGCTCTTTCTGCAGAAGCTTGTAAGCAGCATGAATGACATCCTGTGTGCCTTGCCTGCTTATTGCACTAATGCAGAAAGGTTCGATGCCTTCAGACTGTAGCTTTTCCCTAAATGTACTCCATCTTTCAGATGCCTCTGGAAGGTCCATCTTGTTGAACACCACCACATAGGGTTTGTCAACCAAAGATGGACTAAATAACTCCAGCTCCAAGCGAACTGCCTCAAACTCATATTCTGGTTGTTGTGAAGAACCATCGACGACATGCACCTAATGCTCCAACAAGCCATAAAACAATTATCAGCACAGCCATGCCAAGATACATAATCTCGTGACTTATGTTGTCATAGCCGTATGGAACTTGACGCAAATATTAAGATTAGAGTAAAGAAGGGAAAAGGGAACATACCAAGACAGAACATCGCTCACTATGCCTTAGGAACTCATGACCCAAACCATAACCACGATGAGCGCCTTCCAGTAAGCCAGGAAGGTCAGCAACTACCATTGTAGCATCAAAATCTAATGAGACCACACCAAGGTTTGGTAGCAATGTGGTAAAAGGATAATTGGCTATAGCTGGCTTGGCAGCACTAATAACACTCAAGAGAGTGCTCTTCCCAGCATTAGGAGCACCTACAATCCCTACATCAGCGACCAACTTTAGCTCCAACTCTAACCACCTGCCAAACACCAGCATCCCCAAAAAGTTGTATGTTAGCGAAACGTAGAGATGGATTATTGTGGATAACTGTTGTAGTCATTCATGTATTTCAGTTCAATGGCATTCAGCTCTTTGTGAGAAGCTGTATGCAACACAAATGACAAATCAATATTATCAGTCGGAAATTTATAAGCACAAGAAATTCCTCCAACAGCTAACAATGTGAATCACAAAACAATCCAGGCAGCTGGGAAATTCCACAAACTAGTGTGTTTGGTTGAGCTGTGGCTGTGTAAAAAAGCTACGTGAGAGCTGTGGGAAAGCTGCTGTGGGTTGTGAGCTGTAGAAAAGCTAAAAGCTGTTTGGTTAAACAAGTATAAAATATACCTTCTATCTTTATCTCTCTTGAAACAACTATGGAAGAGCTTTTTATTCCACCAATTTCGAAAAACAGAAAGCCAAACGCCAAAAACAGGGTCAAACCAGCTTTCAAAAATGTACTATGGAAAAGCAGCTGCTTCTGAAAAAAAACAGCCACTTTGATTGGGCTTTTGGCTTTTGGAAAAAGCCCAACCAAACGGACCCTAGCCATGCCAAATGGAGTGCATTAGGAATAAAAACAAGTTGCACATTAACTGATCTTTCCAATCACTCATGATGAGATTATCTAGAAAAAATACTCATGATGTCAAGTTCATAGTAGAGAGAACATACATTTCTGGGCCTTTCTCCCCCTTCTCTGCGATCCTGGGCACCTTATTCGTCCCGGACTTGAACGCCGCATTGCCACGGCCGCCGCGGCCACCGGGGAGGAGCAGCGCGCGCTGCCCGGGCTTCATCAGCTCCAGAAGCTCCACGCCTCCATCCGAGGTCCGCACCACCGTCCCCGGCGGCACCTTCACCACGACGTCCTCGCCCTTAGCCCCGGCCTGCTGCTGGCCCATGCCGTGCGCGCCGCGGCCGGCGCGGAAGTGCACGGACTTGCGGAACGGCAGCAGCGAGTTCATCTCCCCGTCCACCTGCACGTACACGTCGCCGCCGCGGCCGCCGTCGCCGCCCGACGGGCCCCCGTACGGCACGTACTTCTCGCGGCGGAACGCCACCACGCCGTTCCCGCCGTCCCCGGCCTTGGCGAATATCTTGGCCGTGTCGAAGCACCGCATCACCGCCGGCACGCCCTTCTCCTTCGCCTCCCCATCCCCTCCCTCCGCGTTCTCATCCTCGTAGCCGTCGTCCTCAAAGTCCTCCTCGTCCTCGTCGTCGTCGTAGTCTGGGTGGAACACTACAACCTCGTCACCGTCGTCGTCGTCGTCATCCTCTTCCCCGTCGCCGTACTCTACCTCTCCGAGCTCCGCGCGTGGAACGGCACCAGCTTCTTCATGATGACTTTGGTCGAACGGGAACATCTCGAACTCCTTCTCCTCGTCGTCGCTGTCGACGCCGTAGTCCGGGTCGAACACCACGACGTCGTCATCGTCGTCGAGCACTTCGGGAACAAGAGCCCGAGCTCTCCTGCCCCTTTTGACCTCGAACACGTCGAGGCTGCTGACGACGAGCTCCTCCCCGTCGCCGCCGTCGCCAAGGCGTTCGACTATTTGCCGCGTAAATCCGCGACCGCCAGTGCTCTTCCTGCCGGCCGCGCGGGCCTCGAACTGGCCAATGGTGAGCTCCACCCCGTCCGTCGAGTCCCGCAGAGGAATCCGCGCGACAGAGTTGGGCCCCAACCCCGCCTCGAACTCCTCCTCGCCGTCCAGCCGCTGGACACTCCCGCGCGTGAGAGCGGGCGCCCCCGGGTTGGCCAGGGCGGTGGGGAAGCGGTCGAGCGTGACCTCGGGCGACTCAGGCGCGTCGCGGAGCGGGAGCCGCGTGAACGTGGTGGCCGCGACGCCGCCGCCGCTGACGGAGGAGGAGGAGGGGGGAGGGCGGGGTGGGGGCGAGGACTTGAGCGGCCTGGCGGCGCTCCGCTTGCCTCGGCCGCTCCTGGTGTTGCGGCGCGCCTCCGCGGAGAAGAGGCGGAATGGGAACGCCGACGCGGCGACGGCGGGCGGCGCCATCGCTGGCTGTTGGCTGCCGGCCTCTCTCACGGATTTTTCAGCTCGTCGAGAGCGGATAAGGAGCGGGGGATTCGTACGTACCCTCGCTTGCTGTTAGTGTTACAGTCCAGCGAGATTTGGACCGTTGGTGTTCGAATCCTACGGCGGCGGGGGAGGTTGCTTCAGTGTTAAGGCCTCATCAGAGTGACTTCAGACTCCTGAATCCAGGTTGATGAGCTTACAGGTCCAAACTCCAAACTTTTTGTGAAAAAATGCTGTATTCAAACAAAGTCTGCTTATGCTTTTATATGTTCAGATTTGTTGGACTGCCCAATCTGTTCAATCGGAAATTTGTGTAAAATTCCTGATCTGAACGGCTGCCCCTCCAAAATATCAATAACTACTGAGGGTGTGTTTGGATACGTTCTATCCACCTCAATTTGCGTGGATACTAATGTATCCAAACAAGCCTTGAAATGGCAGGTGGAACCAGTACAGGTAAGCTGTTTGCATGGCACTTATCTTTAAGCTCAACTTCTGACTGAAATCTGATACACTGGGTAGCTGGGTATCTTAGCCGGAAAAAAAAATCTCACAGAACCTATGCTACCTGTACAATTTGATTCCCTTGCAGCAATTTGAGTATCTGTACACGTAGGGGTCTGTTGGTTGAAGTTTCTGGTTTTTTGTGAAATTCCTCGTCTAGATGTTTGACGCTGGAAAGCTTAGGTAGTTATATAGGAGCAGTACCGAAATATACTGAAATTGCCTGTGAATAACAGATCCAGACATCTAGTACAGGTTGTTCCCATGTGAAAATCCACAGGCCAAACTAAAAAGGTCTCAACGCAGGACAGATTCATCACACATCTTAAAAGGGATTCACACATTAAAAGGGGAGCAGCCGAACAGTCCATGTCAAATTCTGATTGTTCGAGCCCAGTAATCTAATTCTGATTGTAATAATCTGCAAGCTAAAACAATCACACTAGCTATTTTCAAATCAAATTCAGCATTTTCTGATTGTTCGTATTTCAAAGTCTTGACAAAACATCCAACGTTAATTTCTAATCCCTCCGTTCCGAATTATAAAGCGACTTATAATTTAGTACTTTACATAAATTCTAGAGTCGGCAGCCTTGAGAAATGCAACTAGGCTGCACATTGTTGTTTCTGCACCCCAGCATAAACAAGATTGCAGCCATCCTTTTTCAGACCCACCATGGCACACAATCTACACCATGCTCCACTCCCAAATCACAGTCTACTTTTTGAACCTTTGTAAGAAAACAATTGGCTCGACATCGTGCTTCCTTTGAATTTGTTCTTTATGGTCAAACTTCAACCCTAGATTTGAAGCCACAGGAATGGAAAAAAAGAATTAACATCAAGAGGAACAAAATTCAATTAGTGGAGCAAATTCTGGTCGGAACATCAACTGTTTTCATGGAGAGGTAGTGGTTATCAACAATTAATTAGCTCAAATATAAACTACACAAACCTGCTGACTCATCAGAATCTCAATGGCAACATTTGGATCTCCATCAGCTGCAGCAAGAGCAACTTCAGCCTGAGTCTGCAGCAATGTGATCAATTCATCAGTGAGGTAGTTGACAGCCATAGCATATACGTACAACATAAGCATAACCAGAAATGTGGATGAAAAATTGAAACGATTGTGGGCTCTTAAAAAACATGTGACTATTAAGATGTGATCTTTGCCTTCTAACATTAGTATAACCTAGCATGCATATCCCCCAATGCACTTACCTGAAACCTCTGAAAAAATCATCAAATCAGGCAAACACAGATAACCAACAGTTGAAATAGGCAATTTTTGTTTTTGTTGAAGCACTTCTTGCTGTGAATCTTAATATAGGTGGCTTAGGTAGAGGCCAGGACATGATCAAACAGTATACCATCATGATAGGATAAATGGAAAATGTACTTAATGCACTAAAGAAATTGACATTCAGGACATGACTTGAAATATACCTTTTCAAAGCCCATCCCAATAATCATAGTGGAATCAAGTTCTTCATCAAATGTATCAACCTGCAGTAAGAAGGATGTAACCAAGAACTATATACTAAATTGGAGAGCAATAGAAATATGATACATCGCTCTTTCCCTAAAAAACAATAAAAATCAAAATAAGGTACAGAACACGAAACCTGCTCAGCTGTCACCGTTGCATCAGCTCTGACCGTGTTCACAGCTGTATGCCTGTTGATATGAGCTTCATATTAGAGTACTGATTCACGGATGTGTTGATAACAACAAAATGAAACACTTTTGAGAAAGATTTTATATATTAGGCATATAGGAAGATTAGAGATTTCAGACGCAGGTTGCATCATTCTCAGCACCCGCAAGAATTCAGGTTACCAGCAGTAACCATACAACAAAAGTTCACTATTGTAGTGTTGTCAACAACATTATCCATTTACAAAGCTAGATAATGGAAACCTGTGTTATTTATTTTTCATTTCAGTTATTGCTTCAGTATGCATGCTTCCACAATTGGTAAAAACGTCTGTTGGGTCTCGGAAACAAAACCAAATGAACAGCAAGGCTTGAGCGTGATCCAACATACCACTTCCTTCTCTTTGTATCATATACTATTATCTATGTGTCAATTTTGTATAACTTCACTGGAGCAAGAATTTTCACATGACATGCAAATATAATTGATTTGCTAAGTAACCATAATTCAACCATGTGTGCATCTGAAACACGCTCAAATTGGATCAAGCACATTGACCTAAACTTGCTCACTAAAAGGCAAGCCTAACATCTTGCCATTGTCACGGTGGCATTGATGCCCAAAACAACTTGGGGGCCATTCCCATTTAAGCACATCAGCTTTTAGTTGAATCGGGCACCACAAATTTGTACCAACTCAACTAGCTGAAATAGTATTCTATACTCCCTTGGTACTAAAAAGAATGCCATTCTCATTTTTCTCAAGTTTAACCAAATATATACAAAGAAGTGTACCTGTGCATAATTTAGAGCTAGTAGAAGTCTTGTTCCCTCAACCGAGACAAAAAGTATTTCCATGGCACTCCACTCCTTCACCAATAATCTCCACAAGAGCATTTTCCATCTTTGAAATGGTGAAAACGGCTTACATCTCGGACCACAATCTCCCGTCCAGTCACTTTAGACATCAACTTAATAGCTACATGGCAATCATCACATACACGTAGATTCTTCATAACCCGAATAGGAACTCCTTCAGGTAAGCTCAGGAAAGCAAATGCTATAGCCAACTTCTCACTGTGGTGCGCCAAACTAACTTCTTTCTCCTCATCCTCCATGTCATGGAAAACCATGCTCATGTCCGGTGCATATCCACATTGTCTGATCTTGGTCATCATTTCTTCCAAGCATTCATCAATCTCCCTTTGCCTTGAATGGGATTTATCTCCTGTGCAGAATTGGTGAATCTGACCCTTCAGCTCCACCCAGCTAACTCCAGGCTCTTTCCTCACGTTCTGTTCCCTCATGGTTTTCCTTACCTTACTGACATCCTCCCATCTGCTGCTGGTAGCTCGAATATTTGATAGAAGAACATAAGATGCAGAATCATGAGGGTCCAATTCAATAACACGTTCTGCTATCCTCTCGGCCATGTCGAAATTTTTCTGGATCTTACATGCAGACAGTAGTGTCTTCCATATGACCCCATCAGGTTGCACAGGCATTGACAGGATAAGGTCCTCCGCCTCATTTAGACAACCTGAACGTCCAAGAAGATCCACAATACAAGTGTAGTGTTTAACACTTGGCTTTAGTCCACAAGTATTAGTCATAAGCTCAAAACAACTCATGCCTTCATCTTTAAGACCACTATGGCTGCATGCATATAGCAAGGTCAAGAAAGTAACCTCATTGGGTTCTGCCCCTCCAGCTATCATCTGTTTGAACAGACCAACTGCCTTTTGTCCATGCCCATGGAATCCATAGGCTGAGATCATCGCACTGCAAAGGACAAGATCTGTACCACTATACCCAAGGCAAACCCTTTCTGAATCACATAAGCACCCGCATCGAGAATACATATGCACAAGAGAAGTCATGACTGGCACAACCTTGTCAACTCCAGCTTTGATAGCCTGTGCATGAACCTGCTGACCTTGTGCAAGAGCTGCCAAGTCTGAGCAAGAACTAACGGCGCTGACGAATGTGATTGCATTTGCTTCCACACCAGCACCTCTCATCATGCAGAAATACTCGAGTGCCCCTTCCGAGTCTCCATTCTGTGTTCTTCCAGCGATTATGGTATTGCAAGACACAATGTTAAGCAGAGGCAATGCTCGGAGAGCAGCCTCCCCATCTCGAAGAAAACCACACCGCATATACATGTGTGCCAAGGAGCTCCCAACGCACATGTCTCTGTCTAGTCCCGACCGCACCACGTACGAGTGGACCTGTCGCCCAGACACAACGTCCCTAAGCCCGGCACAGCACCGGAACAAGCTCCCGAGGCCAAACTCATCAGGCTGCATCCCCTCCCTCCGCATGGCAAGGAAGAACCGCAGGCTCTCCTCGTTGAGTCCCGAGTTGGTGAGCCCAGCGACCATGGCATTCCACGTCGCCACGTTCCTCGCGGGCATTTCGTCGAACAGCTTCCGCGCGGTCTCCAGATCACCGTTCTTAACGTATCCCCCGATGAGGATGTTCCAGGACATGACGTTCCGCTTAGGGATTCTGTCGAACAGGCCGCGCGCGGCGAGGAAGTCGCCCAGGTCGGCGTAGGCAAGGAGGAGGTGGTTCGCCGTGAACCGGTCGGCGGCGGCGCCGGACGTGGCGGCGAAGGCGTGGAGCTGGCGGAGGAGCGGGAGAGCACGGCACGCCCGGAAGATGTGGGAGAAGAGGCCAGGCTCCGACCACAGGCACTGCCGGAAGCGGCGGTGGAGAGCCTCCTTGACGCGGCCAGTGGAGCAGAGGCGGATGATCTCCTCTCTTCTTGCGTCGGGCGGTCCGGTGGCGAGTTTCTTCAGCGCTGAACTTGCCATAGCCGCCGCTAGGACGCAGAGGTGCTCGGAAAGAGGCAAGGCGAGGCAGAACAGAGGGGGCAAAACAAGGTGGCGTTTTGTTCATGGGAAATGGGGGGTTGGGATCAGGGGGTGGGATAGGCCGTGTGCCATTATAAAAGTTAATAATTATCTATAAATTATTAAAAAAATTAAGTTCTCATATATGTCACTATTGTGAATTTTTTTTTTTGTGTCCTCCACGTCACTTTCATCAGATTTGGTTCTAACAACATCAAACCGCGATTGTGAAAAATCCAAAATATTCTCAGGTCTAAATATGAAATTAATTTTTTTTTGACATTTTAATGATCTCAAATAAAAAAACTCAAAACTACAAAGTTGTAGATCTCAACAATATCTACAATTTTTGTATAAAAATTATCTTCATTTAATTCTGTACAAAAAAAATATAATTTGATATTATTAATGTCTTAGAAAAATCACTTTTTTTGTACGGAATCAAATGAAGATAATTTTTATAAAAATATTGTAGATCTCGACGAGATCTACAACTTTCTAGTTTTGAGTTTTTTCATTTGAGATCATTAAGATGTTAAAAAAAATAATTGCATATTTAGACATGAGGATATTTTTGATTTTTCACACCCGTAGTTTGACACCGTTAAAGCCAAATCTAACAGAAATAGCGTGGAGAGCAAAAGAGTTCAGAGCAGTGGCACCTACGAGAACTTACCTTTTTTAATGACTTATGGGTAATTACCAACTTTTATAATGGCACACAACTAAAAGCCTCTAGAATCTATCCGAGTGATTTCATCCCGACCAGAATGGTGGGTTATCATCGGGAAACGACGAGGCCAGCTGCGCGTCTTCGGAGAACGAGGGTGGAGCTCGTAAGCTCGTCAAGCACAGCAGCAGGGCCCCGAGAAGACGAGCTAGCCTTCTTGCCAACACAACGCCGAAGTAGCACTCATCTGGGGGCGGCAAAGTACAACACGCTGGAGAAGAAGGGGAGTTGGAGGAGCAAGGCCAGGGAGCGGCGCGGCGCGGCGCTCGCCGGAGAAGAAGGGGAGTTGGAGGAGCAGGGGCCAGCGAGCAGCGCGGCGCTCGCCGGAGAAGAAGGGGAGTTGGAGGAGCAGGGGTCAGGGAGCGGCGCGGCGCGGCACTTGATTGGATCGAGGACGGCGCCGGTGTTTTGCTGTGCTGTTGATTTGGGCGGAGAAGAAGAAAAGATCCGCGTCTACTCCATACACACCAGCAGTGGAGCGGTGGTTTCGTTTTTTATTTTACTCTCGTAGGCCTAATTTGGAAACTCGAACATTTTCGCTGGGTGGCAATCTACGGGGATATTATTTTAATTATCATCTTAATTCTCCGTGAGGGTTTCCATTCCTGGATTTTGCCCCCCTTTGCTTCCAAAGGAGCCCTATATGTATGGGTCCCACTAAATAACCTATCCCAAACCCAAATCTATACATCTATTCTCTTATCTTATCTTTATCTTTCTTTTATATATATATATACACCTAAAAAGTCTCTAAAGTAATCATCTATCGGGTGATACCAAATATATCTAGTTTTGATACAAAGACCGGATCTACGTGTCTGCGTCGATACGAAACTCTAAAGTCATCATATACCCGGAGATACTAAATATATCCGGATTCGATATGAAGACCGGATCTACATGTCTACATCCGATACGAAATCCTCGAAATCTACGTGTCCATGTCCAATTAGTGAGGTTCAATCAAAAAAAATCGGTCAAAGGATAGAAATACGAGTATCCCTCCCTAACCCACTTTATCATATATATCCATCTACATATCCATGTCCCAAACACAATAACTATCCAAACGCCACAGAAGGAATTAACGACAACGAGAAAGGCCAGCATAGCACCCCCTACCCCTGGGTCATGTGCGGTGGCAGCCGATCCACATGGACGCCATGACAGTGCTCGATCGATCCGACGGTGAGGAGCAACAGGGAGAGGGAGGGAGGAAGGAAGGAACACAGGGGGCGCGTGCGCGCGCGCGAAGAGATGAAAGACGACGCGGAAGCAGCAATGCGGCGGCTCTGCGCCTCTGCTCTGCGTGAGAGAAATAGAGAACCTGGCGACGGCAAGAGACTGAAGAGAGAATAGCCATCACCCGTGAATGGTCTGTTTTACCCCTACAGGCTGCAGCAGCGATTCGTTCGTTCGCCCATGACTTGCTGCAGCAGCTCCCGCCACCGCACGCACACAGCCACGCAGGGCGAGGTGACGCTCTGCTCCTCCCGTCGCGCTACCAAGCCGAGCCATCTCCGCATCGCCATCGGAGAGGTGATTCCGGCAAGCCGAGGCGATTCCAGCGCGGCCGCAAGTGACGGGCAACGCCGGGAAAAGAGACGTGATACTCGTACCTCGCGCACGCGCACGCAGCTTTGGAAGAGTACGCCACGCCACGCCACACCATTGGGGTGTTCGGCAGCAAGGAAAAGTTGTTGCTGCTGCAAACTTTGGCTGCGCCTACAATGTTTTGCTGAGAAAAAAAAAAAAAAGAGCAACTGCTGCAGCGGCAGCCACTGGAAGTTGATATCAAATAAGTATTACATGAGACATGTTTTTGGTAGGCATGATACTTTTCTCTCTATATATTTAGTTAAACTCTAGATACTTTAATAAGATAATATATGGAATAATAATATTTTTAAGATGAATATAGTATTAATAGTAATAGTCCATCTGTTTCTGAATAAATAGATTTTTAGAGTTGTCTTAAGTTAAACTTTCTAAACTTTAACTAAATTTCTAGAAAAAAAACCATCAAGATCTATGACATCAAATTAGTATTATTAGATATACCATATAATATATTTTCTTAATGTGCTTATTTTATGCCATATATGTTATTACTCTCTTCTATAAAGTTAGTTAAATTTAAAATAATTTGACTTACATGGTTTCTCGGAATTAATTTTGTTTGAAACGGAGAGAGTAGTTTTTATTATAGTACAGTGGTGATCAACACTCCACGTCTCTCGGCACACCTCTCAATGATGGATCAAGTCGGTGCCTACCGCTGCCATGCACCAATGTTTTTCACGAGATGCATGATCGATGACGCGTTAGCGTCTCGTGAACGAACGGAACATCGCGTGCTGTTTGGTTCGTACGGTAGTAACGTAAATGGAAATAAAAATAGTTCAAATGGTCCATAGCTTTAATTCTATTCCATTTGCGTTACCGCTGCTATAACCAAACAGCTCGATGATTTAAAAGCTAATTGCTAGTTAGATAAAAATTAGTCTAAATTAGTTCTAGTGTATTTAAATAGGTGAGCTAATTTTTTAAACAAGACTTTAACTAGTTGTTAAACAACTAATTTAGACTAATTTTTAGCATAAAACTAGTAACCAGCAGCCATGTGTAACAAACATGTTTTAATTAATGTTAAACTAGTATTATACGGACAAAACAGGCAGGACTATTTTATATTTCACCTAAACCCCAAACATTAAGATAGTTTTTCACACGCAGGTGCAATACCCGTTTTCTTGCCGTGAGATCCATATTTTTTCCTCCTGGCTAAAAAGAATAGCCTCACCCTCCCGTCGTGCCTAGTGCCTTATCTCCATCTCCTCTCCTGTCCGTCCTAATCGGCAATCATCTCCTCTCCGTTATAAAGGGCTCACGAGGGGAGAGCAAAACTCATCATTCAATTAAGGGCCTCCTTAATCCATTAGCACTAAAAACTAATTTAGCTAATAGCTAATAATTTTTAGCGACTATTCAGATCTACCAGCTAATAGGTTGTTTTATAATGAGTCGAAGGTGCATATAAACTATTAGCAACTCCAGTGAAGCTAATAATTAGCATGTCTATTTGAAATCTCCTAACACTAATTTTAGCGGCTAATTTTTAGTCCTAATGATAAAACATTTTGCCATAAAAAGAACAGAAACAGCTAATTTGCCGATCACCGAAACAGGCACGGTGAAATGCAAAACTGAATTTCTTTTTAAAAAAAACTAAACAGAGAATCGAAGTGAGTAGATAAGATGCATTTCAGGAATTCAGGTGGAAAAAGATTCCAGTAATTTTCTATTTATATATTATTATTATATATATAAGCGCAGATCGCCCCCCGAGCCGCGCCTCATGACCTATTCTGATCAACTACCATCCGAGTTCGCAGCAGCAGTCTCCTCAGTGGAGTCCAGGTCCAGCAACCCTCTTCGTCATCGTCGTTATCCCATCCCCGGGGATTGGCGGCGTGGGGGCATCTATCGGTCTTCTGGAGATTGCCTGGTAGGAATCCCTTACTGTGCTTAGACGGGCCGTTCAATTCCATTTCTCTTCCTCCCGCGTTTCATCCCGTTCGTCGCGCCGTTCAATTCTCTTCCTCGATTTGTTTGCTGCGCTTCTCCAGGTGGTGCGTTTTCTGATCTAAGCCCGGCATGAAGGGCTCAGAGCGTTTGCTGCTGCTGCTGGTGGTGGTGGCATCATCGTCGTTACTGTCCGCCGTGGTCAGTCGCTACTGCCCTTTTTACTCTCTGATCTGATAATCATGATGGTAGTGACGTTGGGGTTCTGATCTTGGTTCGGCCGCTCTATGTCAGATTGCTGCGCAGCAGACTTGCCCTGCCGACCTCGACAGCAAATGCGATGGTGGCGCGTCTGATGATTGGGAGGGGGAGTTCTTCCCCGGCGTCCCGAAAATCAAGTATGAGGTGAGGCCACGAAAACCCACATTCTTCAATCAGATTGTGAGGCTGTTGTGAACCCAACCATTGTTCCTTGAACAATTGATGATTGTGCTGCAGGGTCCAACCAGCAAGAACCCTCTTGCTTATAAGTGGTATAATAAGGAGGAAGTGATTCTCGGGAAGAAGATGAAGGTATGATAACTGAACCCAATGTTTCAGTTTTCACTATACCCCTTTTTTACACTGTAAAGTCAAACCTTTGCACCCTATGGGATAAAGTCAACATTTATGCTTATTTTGTTGCTATTAGGATTGGATGCGCTTCAGTGTTGCGTTCTGGCACACATTCCGTGGTACTGGCGCCGATCCTTTTGGTGCCCCTACAAAGGTTTGGCCTTGGGAGGATGGCACCAATTCATTGGCCATGGCTAAGAGAAGAAGTATGATGATCACCTGACCTAACTTTGTGTTTAGTTCCAGCCTTTTGGGTTATGTTTCGGTCTGTTTGTTGGAAGAACTAACTTTTGTTTCAACCGGTATTGCAGTGAGAGCTCACTTTGAGTTCATAGAGAAGCTGGGAGTTGACAAATGGTGCTTCCATGATAGGGATATTGCCCCGGATGGGAAAACTCTTGAAGTATGTCCTTCAGTTGTGTTGTATACTTCTGTTAACACATGAACTCAAAAGTATAATCAGCATGGTCTGTTATTGTTATCACGGAAGCTTTTTTTCAATATGCAGCCTTACAATTGGTTCAGTAGTTGTGTCCATCAGTTATGTTTCATGTGTGTTAACAGTTAATCAAAGTGGTAGAGTTATCTAGGGTACTGTTTTTAAGATGCAACCACCTTAGAAATTACATTTGGTTTGGTGGTTCTGGGTACTACTATCAATTTATTATGGGATGCTATCGATTATCTATGGGATGGGGCTATATGTTGAGCATAGGAATATGATTCCTGATGTGTTCCAGCTATCTTATGCTCACCGAAGGATTCATTTTGATCATCTGTTTCATTCACACCCAACCAATTAGGTATAGGAAGCTCTAACTCATTTGTGCAGCAAACATTTCATCTCCTGTTAGATATAGATACTTTTAAAGATGAAGTGTTGTAACAGCTCACGACTTTGGTTCAGTAACATGTTTGTCAGAAATTTCCTAAGACTGTTATCTCACATTGCAGGAAACAAATGCTAACTTGGATGAGATAGTTGAGCTGGCAAAGCAGCTCCAGGTTAGTGTAACCTTAAATTGCTGACACATAGGTGTACACCACTGTTTTGCATTATCCTGTTTGCTCAATTTTTTTTATTTCATTTAAATTACATTTAGGGTGAGACCAATATCAAGCCATTGTGGGGTACCGCACAGCTCTTTATGCATCCACGTTACATGCATGGAGCTGCTACTAGGTTGGTATCTTGGATTATTCGTTTTGTTTGTTATAATTTATATAAACAAAGTTATGGACTCAGAGTATGACTAGAGATTTATAGCACTCTTCATTAATATTGCAGCCCAGAGGTTAAAGTATATGCTTATGCGGCTGCACAAGTTAAGAAAGCTTTGGAGGTGGGTTATCTGTGATCATCATGATTGGTCCTCCTTCAGTTTGCCCAATTCTTGATTTGACTTTTATCTCCTTACAGGTCACTCACTACCTAGGTGGTGAAAACTATGTGTTTTGGGGTGGAAGAGAGGGTTACCAAACTCTTCTGAATACTGATATGAAGAGAGAACTTGACCATCTGGTATGAGTGGAGCCTATTTGCTGATTCCTTTGTGTCTCTGCTTTACTTTGTGGAACAAATTATTTGATCATTTGTTGGATCTGTCCAGTCTAACTTTCTTCAAGCTGCTGTTGACTACAAGAAGAAGATCGGATTCAACGGTAATTCAGTCCTGTTTCTTTATGATTATCTGTTCCAATGTCCGTAACTTTGACATAGTGCATTGTCTTTACTATGTCAATTTGGTGATAGAACTGAGATTTTGTTATTTCAGGAACACTGTTGATAGAGCCTAAACCGCAGGAACCTACAAAACACCAGTAAGCTTCTCAGGAATGAATTAGCAAAATATCCTACAGGATTCAGAAGCTTTGATCTTTGTTTCTCTGACAGGTATGACTGGGATGTTGCAACTACGTTTGCTTTTCTACAGAAGTATGGTCTTACAGGTAATATAAGTTTCGTATTTTCAGGATGTGCATACATAATACATTGTCAGCAATTTTTTTTGCGGTGAAGCTTGTGTGAATTTATCCTTCTGTTCTGACAGTAACCCTTTTTTTTCTGTATCACATGACACAGGAGAGTTCAAGATTAATGTTGAGTGCAACCATGCTACTCTATCTGGACATAGGTAACTTTTTTTTGCTTGCCTAACTTCAGTTGTATAATAGCTTAAAGAACTGCATGTTAAACTTGCAGCTGCCATCATGAACTTGAGACTGCACGGATTAATGGGCTGCTTGGAAATATTGATGCAAACACTGGTGATCCTCAAGTTGGTATGTGTCGCTGTTGTGTATAGCTCCTTTGGTTGTTTAATTTAATAAGCATATGGCCCGATAATATTATTTGTGTTACACTGGTCACTGGAAGCAGAAAAAACATAAAAGAATGAGGCGTGCATAGTAACTTACCTAACCGTTATGGACAGGTTGGGACACAGATCAGTTCATGACAGACATTGCAGAGGCTACCTTGGTTATGTCGAGTGTAGTTAAGAATGTGAGTGGCATGAATCAGCTCTCTCCCTTTTTACTCAAATTAGCAGTTGCCTGTCTACTGCCTGGTTGCACTCATAAGTCGCTGCATTTTTGTTTATCAGGGTGGACTTGCACCTGGTGGTTTCAACTTTGATGCCAAATTGTCAGTCCCTGTTGTCATATGTTTCTTGTTCTTTGAAAAAAATGGAATTGAACCAACATGGAATTCTTTTATGATAACAGGCGGAGGGAAAGTACTGATGTTGAGGACATGTTTCTTGCTCATATCTCCGGAATGGACACCCTGGCTCGTGGCCTCCGCAACGTTGCCAAGCTGATTGAGGTAACTGAAAGCACATTAAGACCTACTGAACTTTTCCCATGCAGGTTTTTAAACTGGAAGTTTTGTTTTTGTGATGTTAGGATGGTTCCCTAGATGATCTTGTCCGCAAGAGGTACCAGAGCTTTGACAGTGAGATTGGCGCCTTGATTGAGGTATGGCACTTTACCAAGTTTGGAGTTTGCCTGTGAAGCATTGGATTGGAATTGTGTAGGTTGTAACATTGCTCTATTGCTTCAAACAGGCTGGGAAAGGAGACTTCGAGACACTAGAAAAGAAGGTTCTAGAGTGGGGTGAGCCCACTGTTCCATCCGGCAAGCAGGTAAAATGGGATTACAGTCTAGGCGTCCTCTCCACAGCGTACAGTAGTACCAACAAAACAAATATCTGTGCGCACTGATGATTGCCGATTACGTATATCATAATGTGCTTTCCTGATACAGGAACTGGCGGAGATTCTGTTCCAGTCTGCTCTGTAGATGGTGCCATGTCCATAGCTCCAGGAATAAGCATAAGTGTGCGTCCTCCGAACATGCAGTCGTCCTCACCACGGGAATGTTCTGGTTCCACGCGATGAACTATGTACAATACAGCATGGAACTGAAATAATTAGGATGTAACCTGTCAGAATTTCCAGAATTGCTATCTCCTTTGTTTAGAGTGGAATCAAACTGAAGTTGGTTAAAGCTTATCCTGCATTCCATCTTTGATGTGGTGATCGTGTTTGGTAGTCAAGGTTTCCTTGATGCTGTTTCATAATGTGGCAACGATGCTGCTGTTCAGTAGTACAGCAGAACACTGCTACAGAGCCCCTTTGCTCTTTAGGCCCTGTTTAGAACAAATTAGTATGGCCACGCTTCAATTTGAAGCTAGATTCCTTGATAAGCTAGCTTCCCTAAGAAGCAGAAAGCAAAAGTATACCGTTTGGAGACATGACTCGCTTCTTTTCACCTCTCAAAGTCATGTGCCAAGCTAGGTGACGTCACAAGCACTTGGGTATGTGTGAGCTCGAACTTGGGGAAATTTGAACGACCACTTGTAGTTCACTGGAGAAAAATGAATAGATCCAAATCGTATAAGTGGCATCTCCCTCTGGTGTCGTTAATTACGTTTTACACAGTAATCACTTCAAGTTAGTTTTGCCTTGTCCGTTTGTCCCCTTCTATCCACTTAAACTGAACAGCGAGTGACACGGTGGTACATCATACATGGTATATTCTATTTCCTCAGTAGTCAGTACATGTTGTACACATTATACATGATATGTACTATTTCCTCAGTAGTCAGTACATGTTCTACAATGTACATACAACAACTATACACATATGTGATGTACAGGTTACAGATTTCACGATTTTACACGGTTGGACAGAGAAACGCAGCCTAAAAAATGTTCTCCTCAAAAGAGTTCAGCACAGCAGAAAGGGTAATACCCAGCTTCTCCTGCAGATTCTGAGACGACTCCCAGCTCCCTCTGAACTTTCCTCCGTTCATAGAAGACTGGGCATGCCAGGGAAATACACTTGACGCCACTTTCAACAATCCAGTCTGCACCGCCACAGTGGCCACATATCTGGACAAAGTTCAAAGCTTTACAGTCAGCTCATCTTAACAACTAAGATCAAGACTGTGTGTTTATATGCACAAAAAGTTGAAACGTGAAATACTGCAACAGTTGCTCAACCACAAGTCAGGCACGCTAAAGGAAACACTAGAAGTCAGGTTCACAGATATTTTGACACTAATTCTTGTTGCAAACAGTTAGCAATCCATTTAGAGACTAGCATGTGCTGCTGTAATTGAGTGTAAATGATACTCCAATATTTCATCAGATGACTAATTTGCTTAGCATAATTCAGGCAAAACTATGTAAACACAAATCAACGGAAGCTAGGCACTTTGGTTTAGCCTCAAGATTCTCCAGCTTTTGTGTCGAGTGGAGTAAAATCTGTAAATATGAGTGTAAAATACACAAATATGAAATATGCTTAACATGGTCCAAGCAAAACGACTTACAGCAGCGAGATGTTGGATTTCTCGCTCCAACTTTGAAGTTCTGCCAGCAACTATTGTGGCAACAACAGCTTCGTTTTTCAAGCAATTGTTGCAGAAGGTCTCTGATCCTTGAATTATATCACCACAAATTGAACAGTGGCTTGACATGTAGTATGTATCTATTCTGCCTCCTTTGCCTAAGGCTTTATTATTCAACCCTAATCGGATGAAACTGCCATCACGAGAAAATGAACCATGACCAGCAGCAGACTGGCGTTTCGCAAGAGTTGGTCGTATGGGGCGAGGCATCTCATGAAACCACTTATTCAGGTCAGCACCAAGAAGTCCAAAAACACGCTGTAGTGCAGGGATAATCTGCTTAGTTATGTAATATTGTTCATTTAATCTATAAGGGGAGCCAACTTCTAGCAGGACATAAGGATCAATAACCATGTCGGCAAGACGAGCCCCTGGTTCCCCATGGATTACAACATATGGCACTCTCTCTGCATACCGAGGCTCTGCCCTTGGGTCAGACAACATAGCTTTTGTTGCAACAATTGCTGCAGGGGGCAGAGTGGAAGCCCTAGCACTGTAAGTACCTAAACGGACCTCCTTCGCAAAAATGAAATCTTGAATAGAGACTTTTCCTGATAATATGCGTGTCCACTGACGCTCCAAATATGTCCTGACCTGCAATGGTAGAAGAATGTCAAAGCTATACACTCGACAAAAAACAATAATAAAAACAAGGAAAATGGTCCTTACAAGAGGAGACTAAGTAATACCCCTTACTTTGGTCAAATCCTGTTCTTCAAACATTGTTCTGATAGACCGTTCCAAAATCTTTGCAACTGCTGGGCATGTATCTCTCCGAACTGTTTCTATCCCCTTCGCATCAAAGATTGGGTCATTCTGTTCAGGACTCTCGTAGCTATAGCCAACATATCTCTTCTTTGTAAGAAGAAAGCATGGCTGATACACTTTCTCAAACTTCAATGTGACTGGATCAGGATTCATTGCAGTTATTGATGAGGCGATCTCCTTTCCTATTCTGAATGCTTCTTCCCTAGAACGCCCTTTTAGGAGAACAAACATACTACAACAGAAACAGATGTATAAGTATAGTATGACTACATTATACTCCAAAGAGAAAACAAGAAACACAATAATACCTGTCAGTATCACCATACACGACCCTAGCTTTCCACAAAGGATGCTGGTTGACAAATGATATTGCTGTTTCAAGTGTTCTACGGCCACATTGAACAATGCTGTCTGCAAGCTCTGCACAAGGCATCCGACCACTGAATCCAGCAGCTGTGTAGCCATATGTTACATTAGCTATCAGCTTCAAAGCAAGCTGCCGTGCATTGAATATCTGCAAACAAATTAATTATTTATAATTAAAACTGAAAAACAAATTTGCAAAAGGGAAAGCAAGAGGACTGCCTAAGCACAGCACTGACGAAATGACTATGGTACCATAGTACAATCACATCATCCAGAAGAGATTCAGGCATTTCACATGATGTTCAAAACTTGGTTTAGAAGTGAATACCCTGTGAAGAACTTGCTGTGATGGACTCAACTTTTTCATTGCTTGTTTCACCATAATTCTCGTTGACAATATCTCCTCTAGAAGGCGAGGAAGTACACCTTTTCTTATCTGCAGAATACCATTGAGATTGTTCTGGAAAGGTCAGTACTTACTAGGGGAACATAATGTGCAGCAATATATTGAATGTGCCAGGAATCACTAAACATGTAATGGTAAACAGTATTCTCAAGAATATAGCAAGTACTTCATCCGGATGGTAATCAAGGGGAATCACACAAGTCAATCTACCAACCACAGAGGTAATTAGGTAAAATGTAATATGGGAACAACTTTCTATGGGAGGTATATAGCTCAATCAGTTTGGTACATCACAATTTTTCCACTTGTAATGTGAAGAACATCAGATATTGCTCAGAAAATTTAGAAAATCACCTCAGGTTGAACATACAGGACCCCATTTGGAGTAAGCAGCAGCTGATTTTTCAGATCTACAAGTGTATGTGGATCTGCTGAATATGAGCTGACACCAAGTACATTTGACTTTGATGGGAAAACTTTACCCAAGCATGTAGAATAACATAGGTTATATGCTATTATCATCGAAGGATAGAGGGACTGAAAATCCAATACAATAACTGGATCAGGGTAGAAGGCCGACTCTGGTTCCATTACAAGCGGCAAGCACTCCATGGCTGGCTGAGAAGCAACCTACAAAGTAGCACTGAAGCACATCAAGATGCTGGTAGTACTGGTAATTAACAGTTTAGCAGAAAAAATATCCTATTTTCGAGTTTTATGTGGTGTGGTGAATGACAAGCCTGTAGTTCTAAAGAAATCAATACCATTTCTAGCTAACATAATGCAACATCACAGCAGAATTTGATAAAATGAACAAGATTTGTCATAAACTCGTAATAACATTGTAGGTTCAGAATTGGGTAATCAGCAACTACAGTATATCTAAAGCAAAATACTGAAAATCCAAAATTGATAGGTGGCAAGAAAATGCACCTGTTGATTTCCAGGGGAAATTGCAAGGTAGTTCTGTGTATGAGCCAATCTCAGGAGCATAGATTCAACACGATACTGAGACCCTCGAGAAAGAACAGAAAAGAAATCAATACCAAATACACGAGCAAGTTCAGATGTTCGATTCACCTGCATGCCAGGTCAACATTAGGACAATCTAAAAGTTGAGGTATTCAGAAAAAAAATACCAAGCAAGAATACCATGGAGGAAATTCAATTTACCAGGTCCAATTGATTCATTATTTCAAGGTTGATTCTAGCTCTATTGCTAATGTATTCTATGCATTGGTGTCTTCTTCGTCCAGGACCTGTTGCAAACCATCGGTTCAATATCCTGCCTGGTATCAGTGGTATCTTTCGCCTCAGTACTTCATCCGCTACAGCTTCAAGGGAGTAATTATTAAGCTTAACTTCTGCACGCATGAGCCGCCATAAATTAAGCACAATTCTTCCACCAACATGTATACCACTCGCATGAGTATGGCTCCAATCATTCTCATTGACATCATCAATAATATCATCAGCAGAAGATGTTTCAGAAAGCACCTGACTAGAGTTATCAACTGGAATCTTAGGTGGATAATTCAACTCATGCGGTGGTGTTCTTGAAATTCTTTTCAGTAAGCCTATACCCAGATAAGCAGCTCTTTCAGCAAGAAATCCTATAGATCCTAACTGAATCTCCCATCCGACTAGGATATCTGGATCAATTGAACATACTGCACTGATAAGATTGTTCAAAAGGTCCTTTTCTTCAGGGAAGACGTCTACATTACAGCCGGCAATACAATCCAGATTTCTGCATATACAAGAAAGAATTTTGAGACATTTGGGTCTATGAGCATGTAAGAAAAGAAAATATCACAAGCCAACACAAGGAAGCGCACACTGTTT